TGGTCACCAAACAGTATGACAAGTACTAAACGGGAGGCCACACAGAATCCGAGGGGAGAAGTCAGGAGCCGAGTTCTGCCCAGGAACTCTCTCCTGCAGATTCTCCAGAAGAGTAATAAGTCTCTCAGCAATGGTCTCCTTGGTGACCCCCCTTGGCTGGCCACATTTCCACATTTCCCATCACTGGGGTAGGAGTCTGGCTTGTGTCTGAGAAACCTGGGCACCTGTATTAGCAGTGGAGGCAGGCAGGAAGAATGAAGCTATTTGCTGTCTACCTCCCGCCAGGCCCCTGTGGCACCAACGACCCAGGTCCCACCTCCCTTGCTGCCTATCTTGGCTCCAGGTGACTTTGCCCCATCCCTCTACCCACCCACGGAGATGATGAGACGGTGTGCTTTAGTCCTGGACCTGCCGTCTATGAGCTGGGGCTTAGGGAGAGCTCCTTGCCCTCTCTGGGCCCACTGTCCCGTCTGTGGAGTAAGACAATGCGATCAGCACCAAGTCCCTCTTTGGAACTAACATTTACTAAGCATCACCTGTATTCTGTGGGTCATACCACCACATTTGCAGTTAATCCTCCCTGGAAGGTGGGCTCCATGATTCCCCATTTATAGTTCAAGAAGCCAAGGCCTAGAGATTGGCCAGCCCATGAGACTAGCCATGGGTAGGAAGGTGTGAGCAGTATTCGAACCCAGCTCTTTTGCCTCAGCCGTCAGGGGCTTACCCTGCAGCAGGCTGCCCTTCCTGGGAAATGAAATACCACGTACTAGAACACCTCACACCAAGCCCGGCTTGTAGTTACTGCTCAGCATATATGGGTGGGGTCTGTCTTCCCAGGCTTTGCCGCAGGGTCCACAGGGTCCCTGGTGTCTGAACAGGGCCCCATGCCGGAGCAGCCCAGCTCGGAGCTGCTTCGCTGGTGCAACAGGAGACAATCTGGATGAAGAACACCGTGTGGGCGATAGTAGGATTAGCTCTGTGTGCCTGGGCAGGGGTCCTGTCCACAGGCTCTGTAAGCACCATCCAGTGTCAGTGTGAGTGCTCAGGAGGCTTTGCCTGTCTCCATGGAAACAGGGAGGATGAAGTGGCCAACGCTTAGATGTCTCACATAACCTGAAAACATTAAGTTTTGTAAATAGGACAGAGCCTGGCACAGAAAGGGCTCTTGTTCATTCGTTTAATACCTGTCTAGTCAGGGCTTTCCCTGGAGCAGGTAGTTTAGGTACAGAGGCTGCAGTGAGGTACAGAAAGATATGGTCCCTGTCCTCTCAACATTTGGTCTGAGAGAATAGAAGTGATTGGACAGGGCCAGGAGAGCCCACAGCAGGGGCTGGCCATCATCTGGGGTCAGGAAAGGCCTCCCCTGGGCAGTGCTCTGGGGAGCTGAGGGATAAGCCATTGTTATAGTAATTAATGTACTTGTGTAACATACTCAGGTACTCTGCAAAGGCCAAGAACTGACTTTAGATCCCTGGTCCTCTGTGGTCATGGTCCCTGATAGTTACATTGTCATCCCCATTTTATATGTGGGGAAACTGAGGCCTTGTGTTGGGGTCATTGCCCTGAACTCTCAGGCAATCAGCAGCTCAGAAGCCAGAATAACCCCGGCAGGTCCTTCTAGTTCTGAGACACTGGTGTTTCAGGCCGCACAGGCTGGGGAGCAGAAGGGGCCTGTGTCATGTGCCGTCTCGAGATTTGCGGCTGGCCCAGGGCCTCGAATTCAGCTGTGCAGATTGGGCCATGCCCAGGACAGCTGGCCCATGGCCTGCATCCAGCCTGTTCCTTCTGACAAAGCCATGCTCCCAGCTTCCGCCATGAGGGGCAGCTTGTCTCAGTCACACAGATGGCACTGCGTGTGGCTCCAAACAGCCTTACTAGAGGTGATAGGGCATCTTACAGACGGGAGGGACAGCAGGGGGACAGGGAGCTGAGTAATGACTAGTCAGTGTCAATGAGTGACTCATGGTGTCCTCAAGGGGTTTTGCTTAAAGAAACCTATTGAAACTGCTTTGGTATTGAAAATGAATGCTTAATTGATAACAATTTTTTTAATTTTAAATATAGTGAACCATAGCAATCTCCCTCTCTCTTTTTTTTTTTTTTTAAGAGATTTTTGCTATAGGGCACGTACGCTTGCCGGAGAGACAGAGAGAGACAGAAAGTGAGAAATCACTCCCCAGGAGGGATGGCTACCCCGCAATCCCTTCTCCTCCTTCTCCTCTTAGGATTTTGGGCACACACACATGCTTGGTGTACTTTAAGCTACCAGGTCCAGGACTCAAACCGCGGTCAGCCATGGGGGAGTCCAGCAACATAACCATTATATGCCATCTGCTGGCCCCACAATCGCTTTTAAGGAGGATTTTATAGCCTAACTCACTTCCTTCAGATAATTTCAAGTAAATTAAGCTAAAAATGTAGTTATTACTGGGTTGTCACGTCAGTTCCATCATTGTTTCTAAAACTGGTAAAACTATATTTTTCTACTAGATGCCATGCCACCTTTTGTGTTGGAACCACTAAGTTAACCTGTTAGAAATTCTGATGTCCCAAATTACCTTAAACATAACAAATACCTTTGGATTAAATCAGGACAGATTTTTCCTAAACTTGATATCAAAAAAAGTACCATTTTGGGTTTGACTTAATTCATCATTTCTCTTCTTACTTATAAACCTTCACGTGATTAAAGACACCCACTAAGGAAAAGAGCTTATTCATGGAAGCGACACAGGGTTACATATCCATGCAGGTTTGGGGTTAGGTCACGTGGCTGAGAGTGCTCATTAGAAACCTGGGGCGTGGTGTGGGAGCGAGGCCGCGCGTGTCCAGGGAATGTATCCAGGCTGTGTGGCCAGCCTGCTCTGGGCTCTCTGCCCCGCAGGGGACTCACGCGCTACGCCCCCCCCCCCAGGGTAGGGGCTGCACCCAAGTCCCAGAGATCAAGTTAAGCCCTGGTCACCTTTGTCTCCTCCATCGCTCCATCAGGAAGACCCCACCCAGGTAGCCTCTCAACCTGAGAGGACACATCTAATTGATTTCTGCTTGATTCTCTTCTGAATTCAGTTTTTTTATTTTTCCTCTCTGGCTAGCCACCACCAACTGTTGGGGCTTTCATGTCATCTTTGGATTCTGTGTGCGTCTCATGGCCTTAGCTGGCTCTCCCCCTAAACACTGAGGTCCTACAGAAGGTGGCCATCCATGTCCATCTGACCACAGCAGTGTCACACTGAGCCAGGGAGCTTCCCCAGCCCTCTCCTGACACTGCCATGCCCAGGGACAGTAAGGGGGACGGGATCATTGGCGACCTGTGCCACCGTGTACTCTGCTGAAAGGTGCTGGTCCCTGGGTAACCCAAGATGCTAAATATAGTAAAAACCTCTGGAAGGGGGATGGCAGAATAAACATGGTCCAAATCTGTGAAATTTTACTAATAAGTAAATGGAAAAATAAGGATAATACTACCTAATAATACACATCCCAAGGGCCTCCATGGCCGTGACCTCTCCTTGTCACGCATTGCTGAGTAGATATAATTTATTCTGAGTGAACAGAGGGCAGACCTGGGGCTAGAGAGAGGAAGCCACGGTGAGCTAAGAAAGTGCCACCAAGTGGAGGGCTTCCCGGGGCAGCTCTAAGAAGCAGGTGAGACGCCCCACTCAGAGGCTGAGAGGAGCAGTTAAAATGCTCAGGTGGTTTTAAGCATAAAGACTTTGTCGCCGCACAGAGTAACTGGGCAGTACCATTAGGTGCTTGTGGTCCGCCAGGCACCAGAGGGGAAGGAGTGCAGGTCCCAGCACTGGGAAGACCTGACTCTACCCACGTGGCCCTCACTTCCCCCATCACTTGCTCTCTCAGGACCTCAGTCTCTTCACCTGACAAGTTGGGGGTAATGTCATCCCATGTGCTTCCTGGGGAAGCCATGATGGGTAGCAGGAAGAAACGACTTGAAGCGGTTGTGCTGCAAGTGTGCAGGGCTTGTGACACCAGCTGAGCGACACCGTGTGTGGATGCTGACTTTCAGTCTGGCCTGCAGGGCAGGGGTGTGCGAGGGCTCCACACCAGCCAGGTCTGAGTATGGCAAGGTCTGCCCTAGGGCGTCAGTGTGGTCTCATGCTCCCAGGTGTGGGCAGGCCAGGCGATGGGCGGGGGCTGCAATGGGGCAGGTGGAGCCACCATGAGGGTTCTGGAGAGAGACTGTTGACTGCAGGGAGATAAGGCCAGGAGCCTTGGAGTGAGGGAGTGTGAGGGTCCAGGGACTGTAGAGGAAACCAGAAGTGGGATGGAGCACGGAGTCCAGGGTTCATCTGGACTGGAGTCCAGACTGGGAGTCCCAGTCAGTCAACAGGAGGAGGGGATGCACTAGCTAAGAGAATTTTAAAGCAATTATTAAGAGCCAGTCTTCTTTTTACTTCTTCTTTTTATTAGCATCATATGCCAGCCATTCTATAAGAAGTCAGTAATAAAATACTCTCCTTATGGGGGAGAGGGACTACCCCCTTTCTTGATATACCTTGGTATTTCCATGGTTAGCCCTTAACAAGAGGGTTAGGGAGGGCAAGGAATCTTGGAAGACCCTGGGAAAAAAGAAAGATCACCCTGGCCTGCAGGGCCACTGAGCAGACAGTTAAGATGCGGCTTTCAGAATGGGCCAAGGATTCTGGAAGACGTGGGGGTCTGGGTGGAGTGTGGGGTGGATGGGCTGCTGGGCTACCCACTGGATGACTCTGAGTCCAGCCACAGTGCTGCCGTCATCTCCAGGGCACCACCCCCTATGCCACGTGCAGGTTATAATCAATTGGCAAGCACATCAAATGACTGATCCCTGAGCCTGGCCCTCACCCCACCCCACGTTCTGTACTAAGAACGCGGAAACCAGATCCTCCTCCTGGGTCTCCAGCAAGACTCCACTAGGCCAAGACTTTTCAGGCAATCTGTGCTCTGCCCTGTCCCTGGCCTGAGCTCTACCCTCACAATGACCACTTCTCTCTCCTTTGCAGGAACCTGGTCCAACCTGCTGGTGACTCACGTAAGAATCAAGGTCCAATAGCCAAAGAACCAGACAAGGATCAGAGCCCTGTGGCCCCAGGGCTTCAGAAAGGTCAAGGTCCCACGGTCCAAGAGCCTCCAAAGGATCAAGGCCCTGTGATCACAGGGCCATTGAAGGACCAAGGGCCTGGGGTCCTGGGACCACCGAAGGACCAAGGCCCTGTAGTTCCAGGGCCACCAAAGGAGCAAGGCCCTGTGGTCCCAGAGCCTCCAAAGGAGCAAGGCCCTGTGGTCCCAGGGCCTCCAAAGGATCAAGGCCTTGTGGTCCCAGCACCTCCAAGAGATCAAGGCCCTGTGGTCATAGGACCACCAAAGGATCAAGGCCCTGTGGTGCCAGGGCCTCTGAAGGATCAAGATCATGTGGCTCCTGAGCCTTTAAAGAATGAAGGTTCTGTGATCTCAATGCCAGTGAAGGACCAAGGTCCCTTGATCCCAGGGCCTCTGAAGAATGAAAGTCCCATGGCTCCAGCAAAAGTTAAGGATCAAAGTTCTGTGGTCTCTGAGCCTATGAAGGATCAAAGTCCTGTGGTCCCAGCACTCATGAAAGATCAAGGTCCTATGGTCTCAGGACCCACCAAGGATCAAGGTCCTACAGTCCCAGCACCCACCAAGGATCAAGGTCCTGTGGTCCCAGCACCCACCAAGGATCAAGATCCCATTGTCTCAGAGCAGCTGAAGGATCGAAGAGCCATAGCACCTATAAAGATCGAAAGTCCCATGGCCTCTGAGCCTGTAAAGAATCAAGGTCCCATGGTCCCAGAGCCTTCAAAGAGTCAAGGTCCTAAGGTCTCTGAGTCTGTGAAGAGTCAAGACCCCATTGTTCCAGCACTAGTTAGGGATCAAGGTCCTGTGGTCCCAGAGCCTCCAAAGAATCAAGGTCCTATAATACCGGTGCCTCTGAAGGATCAAGATCCTCTGGTGCCAGCACCAGCAAAGGACCAAGGTCCTACAGCCCCTGAACCTCTGAAGACTCAAGGTCCCAGGGGCCCTCAGCTGCCCACTGTCACACCTCCACCCCCAGTCATGATCCCCACCGTCCCCCACACGGAATATATTGAGGGTTCCCCATGACACTCCCCCTTGATAGCTAACGAAGGAGCTGGCAGTGAGATTGCTCCCCACCCAGGGGCAGTGAAGACACATGTTAAATCTGCATGAAGCACGTGCTGTGTAGTTTTGCTGGGCTCTAATAAAACTGGTCCCCCTGACTCACAGTGTCTCTCTGGCTCTGTGCGTGTGTGTGTATGTGTGCACATGCACATGTGCGTGTGTGCCATTGAAAATAGTCATGCCAGGCTCTACATTCGCCCATCTGTGCCAGGAGTCTGAGACTGCCCTGTGAGTTGTCATCACAAGATGGAGGTGAGCAGGCAATGGTAGGAGACTGAGGACGTGTCATGAAGGTGAGTAGGGTAAGACCAGGGTCAGATTCCAGGAAAACTTAGAAAGGGTACCAAATCCCAATAGGCTGAGCCTCAAAGGGATTCAAGTTGAAGCCTACAGATGAAAGCGATTAGGGACCCAAGTGGCCCAGGGTAATTTGGAGGGATAGTCATTTGCCAACTGCTCAGTCTTCAAGTTTATCCAGAGGTCAAATCTCTTTAAAAAAAAAAAAAAAAAAAAAAAAAACTCTCTGATAAGTTTCAGAATAACAAGGGTGGGAGGGACATCTATTGATCCTCAGTCACTACCCATGACATCTCACCCAAGAGCATCTAAAGAAAAACAAGCCCTGAAGCCCCCACTCGTCCACCCATGCACCAGACTTCCTCAGCACCTACTTAGTGCTAGGCACTGGGGTCCTGTAGTAAAGAATCCTGGTCTATGACAATAAAATGCGGTGTGGGACAGGCCCTAAGAGAAGTAAAGACCTGGCTTTGAGAGGTTATTAAAGAGAGATGACTTGGTGGGGCAGCCAGGATGGTTCCAGGAGATAGTAGCTGCGGTGTTCTGGCAGGGTGCTGAGCAGCCTAGCAGGGCTGGAAGCGGGCAACATGGGTGTGGCTGGAGCCAGGCTAAGGTCCCCTCTGTACGTCCTTGAATGGAAGGAATCTGGTTTGCCTGAGGACTTGATAGTCTCGGGCAGAAAACACCCAGGCAGGGGTGATCCATTTTCCAAATCCCAGACATCAGAGAGGAAGCAGGGGTCAGCTGTGGGCTGTGAGTGTGATCCTGGAAGGCCGAGGGGTGCCACAACCAGATATGGGACAGAAGACTGGAGTGCTCAGCAACCCCGGAGCTCAGCCTCAGGCAGAGATAGTCCTGCCAGGATCCCACTGGTATGGGCCACAAGGTCATGTGGCAGCCTCCATTTTAAAGCTCAAACTTGGGAGAGCTGGTTGGTGGGGAGGGGGCACCACCTGTTGTCCCATCAAAGGTGGTTCTCAAGGAACATTCTTACCCCTCTTAAAGGTCTTTTCTTAAAGGGCCCCCTTTAAGGGAATTCAACTTGTTTCCTTTTTTTTTAATAGAGAGAGAGATTTTTGCTATAGAGCATGTGAGCTCGCCAGAGAGACAGGGAGACAGAAAGCGAGAAATCACCACCCCCCACAAGGGGATGACCATGCCACAATCCCTTCTCCATTCTCCTTTTGGAATTTTGGGCACGCATGCGCACACCAAGGTCAACTACGTGGGAGTCCAGCAACGTAACCATTACGCCATCTGCTGGCCTCCAGCTTGTGTTTTACGGAGACATCAGGTGGTGCTGATAATTTCCAAATAGACTGGCGGGGGTAAGACTTCCCCATCCAACAGCCCCAAGCCTGACACCTCGCCCCATTCCTGACAGCACCCCTGGCGCTGTCTCTTCCCCCAAAAGCCACCTCTCTATGCACCCTACACACACACACACACACACACACACACACACACACACACGTTCCCCCAGCCCACACTGAAACAACCATATGAGTGCTGATAGTCAGGGCCCTGATGACCAAAAAAGGCCACACTGAGTGAAATAAGTGTTGTGTGAGGGCTTCCTTCTCTTTCCAGTTCTTCCTCGGACCCACACACCAGATCCCAGGACACACACACTCCCATAGGCCAGGCGGACGAGGGTGCCACCTCTGAGATGTAGAACAAGATTCCCTAAGGACCTGTCAGACATGAGGAGACAGATGCTCAGGGGCCACCAGTCACCAGGGCCACCCTCTGAAGAGAGAGCTAGCAAGAGACAAGGAGCCAGTCAGCTGCCTTGTTGCAGGGAAGGAACAGAATGGAAGTCCCACATGGGGAAGGTGAGCTGCCCGAGACGTCGGAACAGAAAAAGAAACGGCCACCTGACAGCTCTGGAGACTTTAAGCAGGTGGGAAAGACATGCATGACAGAAGCTGAGAAGGGCCTGCCCAGAACTGTCTGGTGCTCAGTGCCCGAAGCTGTGAGAGCCCGCAGATCAGGATGAGGGTGGTTGTTGGAGTAGTCCACTGCTTCTGCTAGGAGCCCTGCACCTCAGTGTCCTCATTTGTAAACCGCTCCTGACAATTACAGGAGATCCTGAGGCAGGAAACCTTCAGCTCAGGGCCAGCTGCAGGCCACCCCGCTGGCTCAGTCAGATCCTGCTCCACTGCAGAAAAGGTAAGGCCTTGTTGGGGGAGGAGACATGGAGGAGACATGGGCCAAGCCACCCATCCTGGGCCTACAGGGAAGGTGGAAAGCGATCTGGACGCTCAGCCCTCCTGAGAGGGCTAGGAGACCCTCTCTGAAACTGGGTAGAGGCCTTGCTGGAGTCCCTGGGGCTAACCCAGGAAAGCACATATTATTCCTTTCTGCCCACAAGGATCTCCTCCAGAGCGGGGAGAGAGCCATGCGGATCAGGGTAGGGGACAGGAGCTACATCCCACTGCATCGACCCCTCAGGAGTCTCTCCCAGCATGGATGGATGGTCTGAAAGGAGGAGGTGGGGAATGCACTTGGGGTAGCCGATTCTCAGCCCAAATCCTGGAAATCCTTTCTTGCATCTTTTTTGCATCTCCCAGCCTCCACTTTCAGTCCATCACTGAGACCTGCCCATGATTCCTGCGAGGTTGTGAATTTGTTCTCTTCTCTCTCTCTCACTGGCTCCAGACCTAACACAATTTATAATTCTCTGTAACAATCAGACCAGGGGGTGTAAGAAATGCCACAGCTCTTTACTTGATAAATCACATTAAATACCATTGGAACCCTTCTTCTCACTGCAGGGTTGGCAGGCTCTGGGATCGCAGTTGTTTTCACGAAACCTAACCAGTCTTTGGGCTGGTCACCATTCCAGGTGCTTAAGCCACCCTGAGAAGATGCATAGAAGCTGTCACTGTGGCTGTCCCCAGCCTAAGCCAGGGCCATTGGCACCTCGCTCCCTCCACAGCAGGCTTGGTGGGGCACTCCCAGCCTAACCAGGCTGTGGTGTTCGTGCCGTTTTAACTCTTTCTCAAGCTGTTGGCCCAGAACCTGAACCATGCAACTGACCATGTGGGATCCTTAACCACCATGCCCCTGGCTGATCTGGCCCTTATTATTATTATTATTATTATTATTATCATTATTTTCCAGGGTCTTCTGCTTGGCCTGTTGTCCATAGCTATCCTGATTCCATAGGTCTGGAGGCAGATATGTGAATTCTGACTGTACACTCCAACCGCATACCCTGAAACTAGGAAACCATTATAGGATGAGTCCAGGCTCCCACTGAGTGGCTATAACTGGACAGGGTCAAATTCCAATTATCATCTGCCCTCCTGGGCCTCAGGCGGTGTCATGCCCTCAGAAACTGAGCTTTAGACAGACTCAACGTCCATTTGTCCCCAGAGTCTGAGTATTTTCCTGTGCCAGAGCCCAGTTCTCTGGCAAATGGCCCAGGTCCCCTTCTGGAAGGCTAAAAGGGAGGAGATTTGCAGTACACCTGTGGGCTCCTGACGGGCCCTGTCTGAAAGGGACTTGTGCTAAGAGACTGAGATCTCTTTCTTTTTAAAAAATTGCTATAGGATGCGTGGGCTCACTGTAGAGAGAGAGAGAAAGTGAGAAAGCTCCCTCCAGAAGAGATGACTATGTCGCAATCCCATCTCCTCCATTTCCCTCTTGGGATTTTGGGCATGCACACAGACATGCTGGTGTGTCCCAAGCCCAGGGCTCAAACTGCACAGTCGACCATGTGGGATCCAGCTTCCTTAATCACCATGCCACCAGCTGGCCTGAAATCTCTATCATTGTGGCTCAAGTCAAGCTTTGACTTGCCAGACCTGGGGTAGGGATTGTTTGTTTTTGTTGTAGTGATCAGGAGGTTGCCCATCAGTTCGATCCCCTTGGCCCTGTCTGGCCCCTGCTAAAGATGTCTGTGGGTCCCACCACGCTGGTGGCCACCTGCGTTTTGATGTCCTGGGTGGCCAAGTGCTGCTGCCCGTGCTCCACTGCCCTGGGACCCATCATCTCCACTGAACTCAGGGAGCCTGTTTCCATGGCAGCATCTCCTGCCCGTATCCCTGCGCCGCAGAGAACAACACTGGCACTGGCAGATTTCTGGGTGCCCCGCTGGAGGGTCTTCCAGGTTCTGTAAGAGGAAGGCTGATATGCGGTCACATGGGGTAAATCCACTTCAACCCTCCTCCCTCCCTTAGTCTTTAAATATCTTTTCTTCCTTTCCTTTTGCCAGAGGGCATATGCCCTCACCAGAAATAAAGAGATAGAGAGAAGGAGGGGGAAAAAGCATCCCCTGACAGCGTGTGGTCACCCTGCAATCCCTTTGTCTCCATTTGTCCATCCTGTTGGGATGTGGGGCATATACATATATGTGCCTGGCATGATTTTCAAGCTTCTGAGGCCAGGATTTAAACCATGCAGTTGGTCATGTGGCATCTGACTCTGGTTTATTTTGGAGAGATTTTTACTACAGGGCACATGCTCATGCCAGAAAGACAGAAAGCGAGAAATTACCCCCTGGGGGGATGGTCCTGCCAAATCCCTTCACCTCCGTTTTCCTCTCAGGATCTTGGGCACGCACGCACACACACCCAGCATGAGTTTAAGGCCACCAGTTCCAGGACTTGAACCGCAGTTGACTACATGGGAGTTCAGTGACATAGTCATTATGCCAAGCGCTAGTCCCAGCATCTGGCTCTCTTAACCACCAGGCTATGGGCTGACCTCCTTCTCTACTTCAAAGCGAAGGACTGTTGGCGTCTTGACTTTAATTAACACAGGCATTGATTGAACCCAGTTTTTAGCCCATTAGTCAAGCAAACGATGAAGACCAGTCCTAGCTGCTCAAACCCGCGTGCAGCTCTAGAATCTCAGGTGACTGTGCTCTAACAAAGTCGGCCCAGGGAACATTGTCTCCCTCACCCCAGAAAACGTTCCCATACAGGTCATCCAGTTTTCTGCTGACGTAAATGAGCCAAGTCTTGCAGTTCTTCTGATGTGCACGCTGTCACCTCCCCAACTTGACTCAGAAACTAGTCCCCTGAGGCAGGCAAGGCTCTAGCCCCAGTGGAGGCCTGCAGACAGGGAGGGGGCATGAGGAGGCCTGGCCTCCCCTTGGTGGGACAGACCAGAACTTGCCTACACCAGCTGCTGCTTGTGTACCAGCTTGCCTACACTTGCTGCTCCGCCAGCCAGAGGTAGAGACTAGTTCTGGGCTGAATCTGGGCTGGCCTAGGATTTGCTTTGACCCACAGAATGTGCTAGAAGTGATCTATTGCAAGCTGCAGAACCCAGGCCACAAACGCTGAGCTCGAGCCTTTGACCTCCTGAAACCCTGAGGCCACCCACCCTGAGAAGCTGGAATAAAGGACCGTGTGGACAGAGGGACCCAGCAATCTGTATTCAGTATCCAGTGAACCTAAGGAAGCCCAGGTAGGCCAGGGGAAAACTGCTGACCCCCAGAACTATGAGAAAGAAGGAAGAGTTCTAAACAGCTCTTATGAAGTGGCCTGTTACTCAGGACTGCCCAGGCAAGGTCACTCAAAGTCTTCAGGCAAGGCATCAGCAGCTGCATCAGGCGTCAGAGCCAGGACCACTTCTGGTGCAAGGAGACTCCCAGGTATCCAAATCCTCTGTGTGTTCTCTGCCCGGTTCGTCCTCTGCCCCGTCCCTCTCTGAATCTCACCCTCAGTCTCACCCAAGACCTAGCAGTGCTGTGAATTCAACTGACAAAGTAATTTTGCGCTCACGTCTTACCAAATCACAGCATCTGACTTGGCCCTCCCCCTTCCCCTGGACTCCCCTGGTGGGTTTGTGGTCTCCGGCGTGTGCCCAGAGTGGGTAAATAACTGGAAGAACAGCACAGGCCGCTTCTCAGCACATGCATTTGAAGTACAAAAGCACTTCCTCACGAGTTAGCTGTGAGGATCAGCCCGAGCCCCTGCAGATCGGAGTGCGCTGTGACTGAGCAGACATGTCCAGGTCACACTGAGAACAGGAAGAAAGATGGATGGGGGCTGGCATGTCTCTACGACACCCCGAGGTACAGCTGTCAGAGACATTTAGGGAACACAGAGGAAGCCGGCGTCTACTGCGGACCAGGAAGATTTCCTGGGGAGGTGGTGACCTTTGAGATAGGCCTCGAAGCATGAGCCCAACAGGCAGAGATGGAAAAGGAGTGAGACCAGGCAAAGGGGACAGCGGGAGCCAAGGAAGGCTGGAGGTGGTGGGAAGCGGGGAGGTGCTGAAGCAATGGCAGGAAACAGGGTTGGATGACTGGAAGGCTTGAGTGGCAATGGCCACGTGATTGCTGCTCATCCCAGGGCCTCCCCATCAGGCCCACCTGCCAGCCTTCCTCAGAGACTCCAACCCTGCCTGGAATCCAGGCCTTTCACCACCCCACACTGTTCCCACTCTGCCTGTCCCAGCTGCCGCTCCGCTGTTCCAGCTGTTCCTCATCTGAAATGTCTCTCTCCCTCTTTCCTATGCAGCTTCTAACCCCCTTCCTCCAGGAGTCCACCCTGACCACTCCAACCTGTCCTGAACCAAGGCACAGTGGCATGATAGATACTCAGGCTGTGAAGTTGTGGAGACCAGGGCTCACATCCCAGGTCTTCCGTATTGTCCTAGATGTCTACCTTCGCTGCTAATATTTACTGCTAATATTCGCCCGTCAGGTGTGGCAGGCTCCGACTCTTCTGCTGCTGCACACCCCAGCACTTGCTGACCACGTCCTTCGAATGGGCATTTACTAGGCACCTCCTGTGTGCCCAGCTTTGAGTTCGGTGCAGAGATGCGGTGACACGGGCAGATGTGGCGTGCTCTGGGGGTCATAGCTGGAGTCTCAGAGTGGGATGATAAGCCCCATGCTGCGGGGACTGGGTATAGATGACAGAAGCCCACGGGTGACTGTCCTGTCAGCTGTAGAGTACAGAGCTCACACAAGCCTCAGCCTCTCTTTCCTCCACAGCCAGGGGACTTGGGTGCCATTGACCTGAAGGTGGCCTCGGGTCAGTCACTTTACCTTTCTGAGCCTGTTTCCTCATATAACATGGGAGCTAACCAAGAGCTACCCTTAGGGACGCCAACCAGGAGCTACCCTTAGGGACGCCAACCAGGAGCTACCCTTAGGGACTACAACCAGGAGCTACCCTTAGGGACCAACCAGGAGCTACCCTTAGGGACGCCAACCAGGAGCTACCCTTAGGGAAGCTGTGGGAATTAATGAGCTCATATGTGGCAGCGCTCAGTAGAAGGTGCTCAGTAAATGATCCGCCACGTCCTCTGGCATGCATATCCATGACCATCACAATCAGCAGGCTTGTCATCTGACTTTAATGAGCACCACTGGGAATACCAGGCCATCCCTCCACTGACCTCCGGGCAGCAGGAAATCTCCATGGGGGTAGTGAAGGTACGGGTTGGGGGCAGGGAGTGGAAAGGATGTCACAAGGAGTTGACCTGGGCTGGACCCACCTCTGGCCCCTGACTGCCCACCTCTGTACCCCACACCAGTAACTCTGCCCCTCACCCCAGACCATCTGAGATGCCAGATGTGAGCACAGATCTTTCACCACCTCTCACCCCACGCCCCACTCCAGGATGGAGGTGCTGGGCCTCAGACCCTTTGTTCCATGGCCATCATACGCAGAGCTGGCTGGTTTCCCGGCTGGTGGGGGCGTGGCTGCCAACTGAACTTCAGCATCAGGAGGGCTGGGCTCCAGGCGGCTGCCGCCTCCGAGCTGCACCTGTGTGGTGTGCGGTTAGGGCTCCTCACCTCCTGGGCTGTTAAGGGATTAAGTGAGCCGTGTAAGGCTGTTCAGGCTATGCACCGTCACCATGCACAGCCAGTCCCCTCCGCCCTTTCCATGCGGCATAGAGGCAGGGGCAACTATCTGAGTGAGCAGGATCAAACCCTAGCTCAGCCCCCACTGGCTGTGAACATCAAGGAAGCCACAAGCCTCTTTCAGCCTCAGTTATAACACCTATAAAATGGGGATAATCCCCACCTCACTGAGCTGTTAGGAGGCTCAGATAAAATGATATATATCAAGTATGTGGCACACAGCAGAAACAATAACAACCAGAAAACCCACAGAAGTAGATCCAGCTGGTATTCCTAAAATCATTATTCCAATCAAGAAACGCCTACTCAGCCTCAAGGTGGCCCACACGTCACTCCCTCCTGGGAGCCTTCCCTCAGTCATGGCTTCCTTCTCGGACTAAAGCCCCAGTGCCCTTCCAGAACAGCCCCCTTAGTACATATGCCTTCAGTGTCTTGTACACACGTGATGCTGAATCTAGGTGCAGAACACACAGGGATGAAAGACAGACATGGCCGCTGTTCCACGGGAGCTCCCCTTCCAGTGGAACACAGGGAATGTTTTTAAGCCCTAAGGAGGCAGTAACATGAGAAAACCTGACAGAGCAACTGAGGTGGGAGACGGCTGGTAATCCTGGGTGGTCAGGGAGGGCCTCTCTGAACAGACGACATACAAGCTGAGTCCTTGAAGACAAAGCCACGATCTGAACTACTTGCCAGGAAGAAGGAACAGCCAGTGCAAAGGCCCTGAAGCAGAACCAGCATGGCATATCTGGGAACAGAACGATCCAGGTGACAGGGACGGTGGGTCCAGAGCTCACTTATCTCTATCCCTAAGTCCCCACCTCTAGCTAAAGCTCCTTGAAGGGGAGATCTAACTTACTGAGTCCATGGGACAGACCTGAGACTGAACGGTCGTGTTAGTTCTCTGTAGTCATAATAAAAGCAGTGGATCCGCTGGCCCTTCTGTAGCCCCCATCCATGTGCTGGTAGACCCTTCGATTGCCTGGCAGGTAGGGGGCTCCTCTCTGGACCAACACCCTCCGGAGCAGAGTTGTTAGCAGAGAGGAGCTGGAGAGGTGCCAGTAAGAGTGACCTGCCCTAGGTCACCCAGCCAGCAGGCAGCTGAGATGCGGCTCAGTCTATCTTCAGCTTCTCTGGCCACCAAGCCTGTCCTGTGCACTCCTCTTCCTCCCTAAGGTAATGTCAGGAGCCCCAAAGGCATGAGAGGTGGCCAACCTGAGGACTGGGTCAGCAACCGTGTTGCTCCCCACTGCCCTGCTACAAATCCACTCTGGGCCTTCTGAGGACAAGCCCCCACAAACTCCCCCACTTCCACAGCCCAGCCCCAAGCCAGGCAACTGATGGAACATACCTGAACTTGCACTCATCCAGGTACGGAGGGATGCCAGCTTGCAGTGACAAGGCAGGGAGCTGACAGAGCTCTACCCAGCAGGACCAGACACCCCGCCCCAGGTCCAGTGCTGTCACTCAGGATATAGCTGCAGACCCTTCAGGGCTGCCAGAGCCTGACGAGTTCCCGAGTCTGCAGCAAAGCTGTATGCTCGGTCGTCTGCCGGCATTCTAGCAAACCTGGTGCAACAGAAGGGGCCTTGTCCTCTGGGCCTGAATCAGTCCTCTACCACACTCCAACAAACTTTCATTGGAAAAGTTTTATTGAAAAAAAAAAATTTGTACAAATAAGTTCTTGGTTGACAGCAACAAAGGCTCAAGTTCTGGCTTTCCTCCCTCCTTTGAAAAACTAAACTAGGACAAACAAAGACAAAAACTTCCTCCCCACGATGCCTGCTGTAGGGATTCTTGAACACAGCCAGGAACCCCTCCTATAAGCTTCATCCCACCTCCTTGCTGGGGCCAGGGCTCGTGCTTGGTCCCCAGGGCTGCAGCACCTAGTTGTATAGTTGGGGGAGGTCGGGATAGAGCAGAAATGGGGCTGAGGTGGTGGCAGCGTGAGAAGAGGGCTGGGCTGAACCCCCGGCTCGATTTTGTCTCCCGGATGAACGTTCCTGCTATAAATATGAACACTGATTGAGGCAGGCTCGCTGGAGGACTTAAAGGCGAGGAGGATGACTATAGCCCAGGCCCACAGGACGTGGGGTCTCTGGGATCGGCATCATGATTGTTGGGGCCCATGTCCAAGTGGAATCAATTCTAGCTGGAAGGTCCGCTCAGATCCATGGGAACCCTGGTCTGTATGTCCACCCCCACCCCGTGGAATACCCAAGGCTGGTTATCTTCCCCTAACCCCCAAATAGCACCCATGTGTCTCAGGAGCCTTCAGCCGCCTCCTGCCACCCTGCGCCCACCCGGGGCCCTACAACTCGTCTCGCATCTTGTCGCCTTTGGGCCGAACCAGGCGGCCAATAAACAGCAGGGAGCCGCTCTGGGTGTCTCGCACCAGGAAGATGAAGGGGTGGTCAGCGTAGAACAGCTTGGGGCTACGCAGCTCCTCGCGCCCGTAGATGTCCTGGTCAAAGGGGTTACCCTCCGTGTCCAACTCGAAGGCGGTGGCATGGAACACGCTGGCCAGGTATAGGTCCTTCTTGCCCGACATGCGTGACAGGTCTGCCTTGTTCTTGTCGATGGCCTCGGTCAGGCCCAGCGTAGCCAGGTGTTTCTGTGGGACCAGACAGGTGCCAGCTGAGACCCTACCCCTTCACCTCCCACCCATGCCACCCTGACAGACCCTCGGAGGAGGTGACAACTCCAGGACCACCTGTGTGTGCCAGGTGGGCTCTTGAAACTACTGCCTCTATAATTCTCACTGCAGCCTGCAAGACTTCTAGTTGCCACTTTACAGAAGAGGAAACCCAGACTTGGAAAAGCAAGGCAGACTTTATCCCTGGCACTGCTCAGCAATCTTGAGCAGTGCTTCATGGACGGGCAGCATCAGCATCACCTGGGAGCTTGTCTGAAATGCAGACCCCTGGACCTCAGCCTGAACTGCTGAATCAGAGTCTCTGCGGATGGGCCTGGATCCTGCTTCACAAACCCCACACCTTCTGAATGCTTCTTAGTGCACTTGAGGAACACTGCTCTGCGGACAGCTAAATCCACATCACTATGGGGCATAAAGCCTTTCCAGAGTGACACAAAGCCTGCGATCTGCTTCAGAACGGCCAATGCAGGGCAGAATGGTGGGTATGGATGAATAGCTGTTGGCTGTGAGCTGATGATGGCTGAGGCTGGGTGACAACGTAAGAGGGGTCATTACATTCATCTATTTTTAAATGTCCTATAGTACAAGGTTAAACACATGTGCACACACACACCCCTTTCCACAGCTCTGCACTGCCCTCAGGTGCCAAAGGCCAGCTCTTTAGTATAAGCCAGGTGCCTGCACCCTGGCCTCCAGCCTCGCCCCATGGCACACTCGCCCTGTTCTCCAGACAGCCTCACTGAACAACTTGTATCCTCAGGGCTCCCTTCTCTCCCATAGGGCTCTTTAGACCCCTTCTTCCAGGAAGCCTTCCCTGGTCCACAGGTCAAATGATGAATCCATCCCCTGGGTCTCTATCCGTGGTCCTGGCTTGGAGCAGTGCCCTGAGAGCAGAGCCATGCCCAGGGCTCTCCCTGGCCCTCAGTGCAGAAGAAACATAGTAAAGGGTCAGCAGCCTCCAGGACCCAGGCTTCCGCAGGACAGTCTCCACCTCCCTGGTATGGCCAGACAGGTGCAAGGCCTGGGGTCCGGAGACTCACAGAGACCCGAAGCAGGTAGGCATAGGGTAGCTGTGAAAGTAGCCCACCTCAAATTTACCAGCTCAGTCTCCCCATGGGAGTGTCTCTACCAAAGCTTCCAGGAAATACAGGAAAAATGGGAGAAGGGAATCGGACCACCGCAACTGTACTGCAGGAGGACTGGGCCCAGGAGAGAGACAGGGACAGACAGCTTCTCTGCAGAACTCTGCCCAGTGCGTACTCCACTGACCTCTGCTGTGGAGCTGAGCCCATTTCACCCTGAGTGCTCTCTCCCCAAGCTTTTCTGCAGCAAGTCCAAATCAATGCTCTGAGTGAGGAGTCTGCCAAGGGGCCACTTCTGGCCTCTAAAGCAAGAGTAAAATGAAAGTTTTATCTGTGACTGGGTAAAAGGTACCTGCTGATTGGCCAAAAGGACACATGTGTGTTCGCATTAGGTCTGATCGTGGCCCTCCCACTTTAAGCCAGGGGGTCCGAGGGAGTCATTGCTTCTCTGCAAGCCTCTGCTCACCCCTCAGGGTGGTCTCAGGGGGAAATGATCTCGAGCATGTGTGCTAACTTTCTGGCCTCCCTCAATTACCCCTCGTTATAAGCTTCTTATTGCACAGAGCATCTAGAACGGGGGCACTCCAGGCTCTCGGACACAGCAGAGTGACTAAGGACTGGCTCTGCTACGAATGTCCAAACCGCTAGCTGGCTGACTGTGGACAGTTCCTTAAACCCTCCTGAGCCTCATTTGCCTTACCTGCAAGACAAAGTTTATGGTCTGACCTCCCCCAGTTGTTCTGAGGATGAGAAGGGTTTAATACATACACAACGCCAAGAGGAGTGCCGGGCACACTTGAACGCGTGCTCAATTACACCTTGCTGCAGAAGTGGCATCTTATTCTGAAGTACAGGGCCACACTCCTCCCCAGCATCCCTAATACAGAGCCCAGCATTGCCTGGACATCCAGGGGCTCAGGACAGACCCAGCTTGTGCTGGGGCACCCCTCACCTGCAGGTCATGGGTCACCTCCACGACACCCTTGGGCAGGGAGATGGCAACGGCTTTGGTCTGCATCTTGCCCATCCAGGTCTTCAGCTGCTCCTTGGTCAGCAGCTTCTCGAGGCGCTCAAGGGGCTCCACGTGGTGGGGCATGATGATGATGAGGCTGGACAGCTTGTGGGCCAGGGGCATCTCCACAATCTGCAGCTTCTCCTTCTCATCATCATAGTAGTTGTAGAGGCCTGGGCAGAGGGCAAGCGGAACACTGAGCAGGCTATGGGTCAAGACGGGCAGACCACAAGCACCCTTGGACCCTCCCCCCTGACCCCTGCTTTGGAAGGCACCTACCTGTCCGGTGCATCATTGTGACACCCACAGTATAGGACCGGGTCACCATGAAGCCACGGTTGTCCACCATCTTGTGGTGGAATCTCTCATCCCAGTGAGCTGTGGAGGGGGCAGAACACAGGGTCAGACACACAGGCGCCCTCAGACACCTCCCAGCCCACAAGCACCCGGACAGTAAGCCCTAGATTAATCCCTGCCAGACTTTGGAGACCCGTTGCAGCTCTCCCTCCACCCCACCCCACCCCCAGCACCCAGCCCTCACCCAGCTCCCTGCATTGGGGTGGGTGAGGGGCGTTGGCCCAAGACTACCTGAGGATGCAAGTCCCCCTGGGGCCACCGTTCTTCTCAAGTGGCAGGGACTTAATGCTACCCTTAGCCCAGCCACCACCATGCCCACCCGCCCCCCGGCTCCCATCAGGTGCATGAGGTAAGAGAATCTGCCCTGGGCAGGGGAGGCCCTGGGACCATGCTTACTTCCTAGCTGCAAATTCTGTCTCCATGGCCAGAAACTAACAACAAAAATACAATATATGTGATGATGGCCCTGCATTCAAATCGAGGTGCAGCCTCTGACTGGCTGGGAGACCTTCTCCATTCAAATCGAGGTGCAGCCTCTGACTGGCTTGGAGACATTATTTCTCCTAGCTTTGTCTCTGCAGAATGGGGCTTCCTAATCCTCACAGCAATCTGTGAGGGGCACAGTACTATCTCCAGAGATGCTCACAGTGTTCACTAACCCTCAATCCCACCTACGATTCAATACTGAGGTACCTGGACCCAAGTCCTGGCTCTGCTACCACCGACCTGAGGCTCAGTTTCCCCACATGTGAATGGAGCCAACACTGCCTGTCCCCGTGTTGCTTCATGGACTGGGGCCTCTCTCCAGCTCACTATGGAGGCAGACGTGGTTACTAAATTTGATTCCAAGACACACAAGGGGTAGCCCTTAGGCGGGTGAACCACAGTAGGAGCATCCTCTGGAGTCGCTCTGCCCCATCCCACCCTGCTAGACGCATTTCTAGCCTCTCTGAATCTGGTTTCTGGCGTGTAAGATGGGTTAGGAGCAGTCCTGGGCTGAGGAGGAAATGGGAAACTGGAGTGTCTGGCCCCAGGGATGCTTCTGCAACCTGATCATGCTCTGGGGAGGTGCAGGGGCTCCCCAGGGCGGGCGACTCACGCTTGAAGAACATGGCGTTGACGAGCAGGGCGCCGTCAGTGCGCTCCACGTCGGAGGTGACCTCGGGCAGCTTTCCCCCGGTGGTCTGCGCCGCCCACTCGTTGATGGACTGCAGGGCGCTGCGCTTGTCGCGGAAGTTGATCTTGGAGTGCTCGCAGTTGTAGTGCTGCTTGCTGCTGCGCACGAAGTCCTCCGCGAAGCTCACCGAGCTGGGCCCATACAGGCGGCTGCCCAGCTTCCAGGTCACGTTGCGCGCCGTGGAGTTGCTCAGCGAGCGCAGCAGCTCGCCCAGGCCAGCGTGCACCTCCTCGTCGCGCAGCTGCTCCGCGCTCAGCACCGCCTTGGCCTGAGACGCCGTGGCTGCCTTACCGCCCAGCGACACGAGCCCCAACGACGAGGCCACCACCACGGGCGACAGCAGGATGTTCTCCACCGCCTGGTCTTTGGCCATGGCCTGGTACAGGCTGAAGGCCAGGCCGGCACTGCGCTCTGCCAGCGTGGCCGCCTTGGGGCTCAGCTTCTCCGCGGCGCCGCTGGGGGCTCAGCTCCTCCGCGGCGCCGGGAGCGGCTGCAGCTGCGGGTTTCTTCACCTCGGCCGCCAGGACCCCAGCCAAGGCCAGGAGGCAGAAGGTACTGAGGAGCAGGAGGGAGCGCATGGCTGGAACAAGCGTCACGTGTGCCACCGCAGACCTGTGAAGGCTGCAGAGAGACAGGCCCTGAAGCCCTCGGCCTTCCTCCCCAGCAACTATCCCCAGCCTTGGGGTTGCCCCATGTCCCTGGAGATGGAATTCTGGAGGCTGGGGCCTGACTCCAGGCTTCCCAGGCTCTCAGAGGCTGTCCAAAGCCCGGTTCAGAGCAATTGCCCACCAGACCACACCTTTGGTTTCCCAACTGGACACTCAGTATTTTCTTCTGTGTTTATCTGTATTTCTACACCCAGGGTAGTCGTGGCCTGCAGGGGCAGGAAGTTTAGCCAGTCCTGGCACAGAATAGGCTGGGCTGTTCCCAAAGGAAGGTAAAACAGAGCCTCCCGGCCAGAGCTGGAGTCTCCCTAGTTTATACAGGGGTGTACTCTGGTCTCACACAGCTCTGGGGGTCCTCTTCCCATCAGTGGCTGGGCTGAGGGTGTGCAGGACCCTCAGATGCTTGAGCAAAGGATGTCATGTGGGACAGAGCTGCAGCCCTGCCCCCACATCTCATTGTGCCCTGGAGGTTAATGAGTCACTGATTGGTTCACTCATTAAATGGGGGAGCCCAGATACTCCATTTTGCTGCTCCAAGAGTGATCTCAAGTGTGTGTGTGTGTGTGTGAATGTGTGTGTGTGTGTGTGTGCCCACTCAGCCTGTCTCCCTTTTCTAAGCCACAAGGGTCGAGGTCTCCATGCCCCAAACTTCTGCCTCAGCAGGGACCTGGCCTACCCATCTGCCCACAGCCTCTGAAGCAGAGGAGAAATCTCCAGGGCAAAAACTCCTGAGACCACCCCTTTGGAAACATGTGGGGGTGCGACAGGACGCTTCTGAGAGCCTCAGCGCAGACGCTGGGGAAGGCGATGGTCAGCTCCAGCTCGGTGGAGCAGCTGCCCCTCCCCCACTGCCAGAGCCTGGCCAGGCATGCGAATGTGCTCCGAGGAAGCTGTACTCAGCCTCTCAGCCTCCCCGGCTTCAGACTCCCAGGAAGCCAAAGCCACATCAGATTCCATTCTGCCCCCATCTAACAGCAGTCAGGCCACACAGGCCATCTGCTCCATGGCTTCAGAACTGCCCTCAGGTGACTATGACCCAAACCAATCCCCCAATCCCAAACGCAGTGGCAGCAAAAACACCCCCGGACAAGCTATAAGCCCCTCTCTGGGGCCTCCTGTTAGGACTCTGATTCTGCGCTATATCCACACTGCCCCCTTCGGGTCATTTGCCCCTATATGTACTTCATGCAGAAGCTGGGAGCGGGAGCGAGGCAAAGGGAAGGGCCAGCAGAGACCTGGGGAGGCTGGGATGCCCTGTGCTAGCGGACCATCTCATGGTCCTCCTCGAACAAGACTCCACATGCTAGCAAAGCATCTCATGGTCTTCCCCAAAGAAGACCAAAAATGGGCAGTCCTGGAGAAAAACACTCAGGACTCTGGCCTCCTGGGAAGGCACTGAGTTCTGGGAGATTCTACTGTTGCCACCCTGCATATCCAGGCAGGTCCCCCACCTCCCCCACCCCCTAGGTTGCTACCCGCCTTGGGCCTTGAAGGTGCAGTGCAAGAGAGGTCGAGAGTCCAAGAGGAGGAAGGGGAGAGGAGGGAGGATCACAGAACAGGTCTGAGTCTCACCGGGACCCAGGCCACCTCCCTCACCAGGCCTGGAGCCTCATCATGGCAGTGACCATCTAGCTTCCTGTACAATGAGGACGCAGGAGAGCAACATGGGTGCTATTCCTTGTTACACCAGGACAACTCGGGGCCACCCTGCTGCAAGGCCAGCTTGAACCCACACACTGATGCCGCGCTCCCAGTCGCAGAGACCACCACATCCTCTCCCTTAGGGGGCAGTCGAGGAGCCTGGCTCCCAGCCCTGCCACGTGGCAGACAGCGTCTCAGTAGCCCCCACCCCTGTCAACCAGAACCTCAATGCGCTGGGAGGGGCGTCTCAAGAAAGCTCCAAATGACCAGTTTGGGATTCCTCAGGCAGTCACCCAGCCAAGCTCCAGCTCCTGGTGACGTGGCAGACACTCTCTCCTTCTGCCCTCAGTCAGCAGAGAGGGGCTTCCAGTCTGGGCAACAGGAGGCTGGGTTCAGGTCTCAAGAGGTTGCCAGGGGACCCCAGGAGCCTTCCTGGCCTTGTTTCACTGGGGAGAAGAGGTGCCCTGCTCAGCCCAGCTGCAGGGCCCGAGAAAGGCAAGTTACTACAAGCAAGTCAGCCTCCCCCAGCCACGCCCTGCTGCCACAGGGAAATGCCAGCCCGCAGGCCAGGGTTAGATGAGCTGCGGCCCCACAGACAAACGCTACCAGGCTGTGCCCACAGCTGGCCAGACTGCGCTGGGGCAGGGCGGGGAGGGGAGGACAGCCTGGGCCCCCCAGAAGGTCTCCAACACTGGAGAGGGTCTAAAGTACCTTGAAACTGCCTCAGAGGGAGGTCAAGGCCTGCCTTTTTCATTCTGAAAGAAAACAGAAGGGTGAGGAGGATAAAACCCAGCAAAGGGGAGGTGGCCTGGAAGGCCAGACCCAGAGGCACCTGGTCTACACTGCCCCAGCACAGACGGCAAACCCAGTCCCAGATGTACGAGGATCTTGGAGGTCCACAGGTACCTTTCTGCAGTTAGGGAAACTGAGGCCAGGGCAGGGAGCCAGGCCAGGTCCCTTGGGATGAATAGTGGATCGGGCTTCTGGAGCATAGGGCCTCCCAGCCCGGCTGAGAAGTGCATGCGGTGTCCGGTTACACAGCCAGCACACACAGGCTCACACACACACCTCAGTGACCAGACAAAGGAGGGGACAGGAAGGGGGGATGGGGACACACATGCTGAGGACAGGAGGGTGTGGCCCCTATGAGATGAGGGACCAGAGCCCCCTCATCTTCCCCAGACCTCCATCCGGCCCTGCAGCCCAGAGGGACCAGGCGGAAATCGGGAAGGAGGGGCCAGGATGAGGGGCAGGCTGGAGTGTGCTCATTCTTCCTCTCCAGCGGCCTAGGAATGTCCCTAAGCTGGGGACGGCAGGCTGGCCTCTAAAGTAGCCTTAACCCTGCAGTTGCTGCAGGAACCAGGTGGCGGTGGCCAGAATCCGGGTGGGTGACTCAGAGCCATCCAGCCAGCTGGCCCCCACCTGGGATACAGGCCTGGTGACTGCTGGCTCCCTTTTTTCCTTTTTTTACGAGCTGGTCAAGGGCCTCCTCTACTACCATCATCTATACGTCCAGGCTGCTGGGCCAAAATGGAGCCACCCATGGGGACTCCTCCCAAAGCATGGGGACCCCATGAGTCAAGACCCCCACCCAAGAAAAGCCAAGCCTGTTACACTTCCCTCCCTACCACCTTTCCTTCTGGAGGCTCAGATGCCCCCCAAAAGCCTAAGAAGAAGCTGGGCCCCAATCACTGCTGGCCCTGTGGCCACCCTGCCCAGCTGGCTTGTCCTTCCTGTCCCTGCCAGGAGAGACCCCAGGCCCCATCCTCCATTTCTGCAGAGAGCCCGGGCCCAATCTCAGCACCATGACCCCCCACCCCCGCCCCAAACTCGGGGGAACACTGCACTTTTCCGACCCCGCAGGGCCCGACCGCTCCAGGCTCAGAGCCGCCTTGCTCTCAAGCTCGCTCCCTCCCTCCATCGCCCTCCAGACCGTTCTCGATCGCGCAAAGTGCCAGAGACTCCAGTTGGCGGGCTCTGGCTCGGCCCCCCAACCCCTCCCAGGGACGGTCGTCCCCTTCACTCCCTGAAGCACCCCCAAAGCACCCGGCCTTCCCGGCCGCCCCGCCCTCACCTGGGCCGGGCTGAGCTGGCGCCGGGACGGACGGACGGCAGTCGGAGTCTGGCTCGGCACGGCGGATCGATTCTACTAGCCGCCCGCTCCCCGCTCCCGGAATCTATATATGGAAGCCCAGACCCCCTCCCTCCTGTCCCGAGAAACTTCTGGAAAGTTAGAATCGCTTCCGGAGGGCGCCCCAGCTCCGCCAAAAAAAGCCAAAGACCTCCCCCAAGCCGCCCTGGCTCCCGCCCCTCCCTGGCGGGCGCTGTCCGGTCCCTGGGTCCTACTGCCCCCCTCATCGCCGGGGCTGCCGGCACCCGGAGACCCCAAGAGCAGCAGGTCCTCAGGGCACGAGGGTGTCCTTGGCCTCTTCGGAGCCTCTGGGCTTTGGTCCTGGAGGTGGGAGGGAAGGGGGTTCGGACCATTCAGCCCGAGGTGGCACCAGGCTGCAGAATCCCCTTGCGCCCTGGACTCCGTGGACAAGACTTCCCACCCCATGCACGTGCCCCCAGCACTCCTTACCCTAGGGTCTCTGGACCCCACACCCAGCTCCACCTCCTTGGAGCCCCTCTTTGCGCAGGGTCAGACTTGGGGGGGCGGGTAGCGCTGCACTCCGTGGGCTGTCATCCTACAGACTTCCACCTCGGTGACCCCCTCCCCAAATCCCCCACTCCACCCCCAGCACCTGCAAAGGGAGGGGAGGGAAGGGCCAGGCCAGTGTGTGGCCCCAGCCCTGGAATGCCCTGGAAGCCTTGGAGTGGGAGAGACAAAGACCTGGAAAGGGGAGTGGGCACAGGAAGGATAAGCTGGCTCTGGCTAAGTAATGTGCTGGTGACCGTGGGCAAGTCACTTTCCTTCTCTGGGCCTCGGTTCCCTTAGCTACCATTCGCCGCTTCCATGTCCTACCGCCCTCCCTTTCTTTCCCTCCTTGGTCTCTCTGCCCCCTCCCTGCCTGGGTCTCCTCCCTCTGGCTCCAGGTCACCATCATCTCCTCCAACCCCGCCCTCCCATTACTGATAGCTCCCTGAGCCCTGAGTTAAGCTGTGGTATGCATTATTGTCCGGGGTGCTGAGGACGTGGTTGGGACTAGATGAAGTCCCCGCCCTCAGGGACAGACATTCTGAGAGCTGTGTGTGCCCTTAGGATGTTAGTAGGGAAATCAGTAAAGCAGATCATATGGGACACCCCTTCCCCCAGATCATCTTCCTTAATAGTGGAAGGAGGGCTAACAGGTGGACACAGGATGGAGAGGAAGGGACCGCAAGGAGAGACCTATTCACTTCCTCATTCATTTATTCCATCAACAAACAGTGTGGAGCATCTTTTTTTCTTTCTTTCTTTTTTTTTTTTTAGAGGTTTTCGTTATAGGGCACATGCGCTTACCAGACAGAGAGAGACATAGAGACAGCGAGAAATCATCCCCCAGGGGGGATGGTCATGCCACAATCCCTTCTCCTCCATTCTCCTCTCTGGATCTTGGGCACGCACGCACACGCGCCCGGCGTGAGTTCTAAGCCACTGGGTCCAGGACATGAACCGCGGTCGACTACGGGGGAATCCAGCAACATAGCCATTGCGCTAACTGCTGGTTCCCATCATCTTCTTTTCTTTAAGTACGTGCCTGGATCCCGGGAAGCAAATGAATCCCAGCACCCAACAAAGGCACCGTCTGGGTAGCTGTCCTTAGACGGGTGGGGGAGGGCTGGTGACTCATTTCTCAGTCTGGATTAGGCTCAAAATCTTCCGATTACAAGGACTCTGGGGAATCTTAGCTCCCAAAAGCTTCGGACGCTTCAAACCAGGGCTAAAGAATCAGAGATTATTTGAATCCTACAGTGATCATCATAGAGTATGGTTATTACACTCAAAACCCCACGGCATCCCTGTACTCAGCTCAGGAACCTAAGCATGCTCACATCTTGGAATCAACGGGTTTTAGAACAAAAATACAGAAACCTCTGAGCTGCAGGTTATCTCTGAGGTGAGGACCAGCAGTTAGCATAATGGCTATGTCCCTGA